AATTATTCATTTTTAAGTCTTGCAATTATCTTTATATTTTTTTGCATTCGTAGAGAACTAGTGTAAATCGACGCACTGTTTAAAAGATCTATTAGATATAGCAAAAACTGTTTAACTATCCCCACCCTATCACACATTTGAAAATGCTAAGTTTTTAAAAATTTAGAAAATTAAACAAAAAATTGTTTGGTTTAGAACTATAATTTTGAACTTTTACGTATCTTTTGTAAAAATTATTGTCTTCAATTGCTTAGGGTAACCCCCCCTCTTCCCGCATTTTGCAACACGCTTTTTTGAGTACCCTTTACCTCCCTAAAAGTACCTACGCCTAAAATCTACCAACCCATCATTTTATGATATTTTTTTAATTTAATGTCTCATACTTTTATAATTGACCTACTGCCCCCCCCTCTTATCTCATATACCCAATTTGCAGAGCCCCTCTACCTCTCCGAGCGTACGTACTTTATGCACAATCCTATAATAACTTATTTAAACCGTTCTGTAGCAATTAAAAATAAATATTTCGAAATTTTTATAAACCAACTTAGCAATAGCACCATAAACTTGACTTCGTTCATAATATATAGTAGTTCATTATCATATTTACCAATAATGAAAAGATTAGTAAAAATTGAAAAAACCACTGCACGCATTTGCATGCGTTTAAGTCAACATTGTAACCAACGTGTAATGCTTTTTTTTTGTTATTACAAAACAAAAAAAAAATAATTATATTCTAAACATCTGTTTTTAAAACAAACCTTCTTTTGAACAAAACCCACAAGTTTTCCTACATTTAATTTTAGCCCATTCAGCTGATAATTCACAGCGTCCTATTGCTTTTTCTTCGACACAGTTGGGATCTACATCTTCACATTTACAATCTGTACAGTCAACATAATTTGTATTTCTTCCAGGACAACTGTTTGCTTCACCATCTTTAGACGAATTTATGCAATACCGTTCTTCTCGATATCGGCAGTCTGCCTAAAAATAAAATCATAAATATCGTTAATACTTATTACACTTTTGACGTAATTTTTAACTTGTTTAGTTTATACAAAGTAGAGCAAAAAAAAAATTAGAAAAAGTACACGCAAAGTATTTTTTTTTTCTATAGTTGTATACATAAGTTGTATCAAAGATGATAAAAAAAAAACCAAGTTCTACTCATTGAGTTTTTAATTTTTATAAAACGAGATTTTTTATTTTAAATAGATTCACAACATGCATTTTTTTTAAAGAAAATATATCACAGAATAATAAAGAGGATATTTAAGAGGGTACTAAGAGGGTACTAAACTGTTAGTTGATTATTTAGCTCAATTAGATTTTATTCAAATCTAGAGTTTGTTAAATAATAAAAACGTTATTGACATTGTAACTATTTTAATTATTATTATTATTATTATTATTATTATTTTTAATTGATATCATATAATGAAATGATATTCGTAAATTTCGTAAAAAATTCGTCATGTGAGAAAAGATAATACTGAAAATAAATTATGTGTTTAAATATGTACAAAATAAATTATGTATTTGAATATAAAAGTTTATTTGTTAGCAAGTTTATAAACTATGGGATGCGTTTTGAAAGAAAAGCAAAAGGTTTTCAAACCAGATATGGTTCTTGTATAAAATCTAGGCTGAATGAGAATATTTATATATTTATTAATATTTATTTGCTTATCAATTTTTTTATTATTTTTGACAAAATACGGCATGAAATACAAACAAATAGAGAATAAGCTGTAGATTCTTTTACTTTTTTTGATTTTCATTGTCTAAGAAATACTATAAAAGAGTTTGAATACAAAAGAACAGAAAAGTAAAACAACAATTTAATAAAAAGATCTTTTTTAAATGCTGTTAAAGTATATGCTATTATTAGTTCTACTCATTTAAAACATCACTTGCTTTCATTGCATCACTAGGTAATGTCAAGTTTATAAAAGTAAAATTGATCGAAAAAATGTTTTATTTTACTTCGATTGATTTGAACTATCAAATCATTATCATATAACATCAAATGGTTTTGAACTAAAAAAAAAAAAATTAGTTTTTGTTTCAAGATGTTTTTTGTGCGCATGCGCGGTTTTTTATTCCAAGGCGATAGCATTTCTAGAGAACGCTTTAACCTTAACCTGTTTTAGATATTAGATAACTGATTAACAGTAGTTTTATTTTGATAGCATCACATAGAGTAACAATTATTTTAGATTGAAGGGATCTTTCTACCATTACCACAAAAAATGGAGTTATATCTCACAGTTTCTTTTCTTCTAGGTAAGTTACTTTTACCACGAGTAAGTAGTTTCAACTGTTGTCAAAACTGTATTTTTAAAAAATTGCGCTATTTTTAAATTAGATTTGTTATGGCGATGAAATCATGAGGAACGTATTTTATCAATACGTCCATCATGACTTGATGATAAAAATATCAATTAAAGTTAACTTATTAAAAGCATCTTATTAAAAGAAGAAGTAAACGCTAAAGAAACTTATTAAAATAATCAGTTTAATACGTTATTAATATATTAACAAAGATGGAAGTCTAATTAAATAAAAACGTAGTTTTACTACAAATTTATATTGTAAAAGTAAAACGAGACAAAATTGCCCGATAAGTAAATTAACCCATTGTGTTCATATTGAGTTTACAGTTAAGTGCTTTGATATGATTATTTCTACGAGCAATGTAAATTAAGTGGCATTTTTTGTTATAAATTTATTATTTTGTTAATAGACTCAGGAATAGTTTTTTAAGAAAGTTTTTTATTAAGTTATTGAGATTGTAACCTAAACTATATACAAAGAATGTCGTATTACTTGTACAAATATAAAAAAATTTGACATTAGCTCTATGAGTATAAAAAACAGTTAAATATACCAAACAATTTGAAACTTTGACCCATTCTGTCCAATTATCATTTTCTGTTTGCGAGCATTCAGGAGATGTACGACATGTTAATGCACAGTTCTCTCTAAACATTGGGTTATCGTTGCAATCAGAAACACGTTCTTTACAAAAGCTCCATTTGTCTTGCACATCGTTGCATGCTTTTGAAACTTCAAAGGTCATACTGGAATGAAGCGTCTGATGGTTTTCATTTGAAATTAACTCGTGTTTTTCAGGAAATCCGTCTAAATAAAATTAACAGAATTATTAAAATTAAGTAGAATTAACATTATATTTACTGAGATTTAACATAGACCGTGTCAACGTCACGGAAGTTTTTTTAATAATTAAAGGAAGTATCCAGAAGTTTCCAGAAGCATGCAGAAGCTTCCAGAAGTTTCCAGAAGAAGCATCGGGAAGCATCCAGTAGCATCCAGAAGTATCCAGAAACATTCAGAAGCACCCAGACGCATCCAGAAGCTTCCAGAACCATCGAAAAGAAGCATCTAGAATCTTCCAGAACAGGCTCATACAGGTTCATTTTATTATACAAGTGTTTCATTAAATCAATACAGTCCACACCTAACCAAGACATTCTGTTCCACAGAGCATTATTGTATTATCACAAGGTAAATGTAACACGGTAAGCCTTGAGAAGCGTGATTATTTATTTTTATTATTTTTATGACTTCAAGTGCAAAAATGGCTCTCGACAGTCTTGGATTGAAACTAAGAAAGTAAATTATTGGCGATTACGTAAGTGGAATGTCACAAAAAAGTATTTGTGATAAATATCGCGTGAAAAAATGGACCGTATCAAGACTATGTTCTAAATGTCGTTCTACGGGGAAGTTGGCAGCAGATAACAAAGGTGGAAGACCGGCCGGAAAACACCTCGATTTACGTTACTGCCATAAGACCGTGAAGCATGGTGGAGGCAATGTAATGGTCTGGGGGTGTTTTTCTGCTAACGGTCTAGGTTCAATACATCAAATAGATGGAATAATAGACTGTTTCATGTATAAATATATCCTGAATGATGTTATGTTACCTCATGCTGAATGGAATATGCCAATAAAATGGGTTTTTCAGCAAGACAACGATCTGAAACACACTGCAAAAGTAGCAGTGGTTTTAAGACACCCACCTATCGGTGATGGATTAGCCGCCTCAATCTCCGGATCTCAACCCTATCGAGAGCTTGTGGGAGATCGTCAACCGCAGAATTAATCATGAAGGTGTTCGTAATAAGGATCAACTGTTTGAACAAATCCAAAAGGCCTGGGCAGCGATTCCACAAAGTTTCATTGATCACCTCATGGAATCTATACCTCGAAGATGCAAGGCTGTAATCGACAACAAAGGATTCGCCACGAAATATTGATAGCGAAATACAGCTTGGCCAACATTTTGTGGAGTTGCACTTGTTTTGTCGAAAAAAAAATCAACTTTTTTTAATACTTTTTGATTAATTTATTAATTTTTGTGTACAAATAATGAACTTTGTGATGAATAAAACTTGAAGAACGTTGTCACTAAACAATTACATAGTTATTTTTCTAAATTGAAAAAAAGCAGCACTTTTATATAAAGAAGCTAAATTAGCATTATTTGGTTGCACTTGTTTTGTCCAATACTGTATATTATATAAAATTGCATTTTAAAGTAAGTATATATTATCAGAGCTAAATTTGTGTCTATCCTATTTTGATGTAATCATGTTATATATTCTGTAAGGATGTCACAAAATTAAATAAAAACATTTTTAATTTTCTAAATATTTGTGAATTGTAAAATTTAAGAGAAATTCTTAGAGAAATTTTTTTCCAAAATAAACATAAAAAACTATTTGCTTTTCAGATTTCATGATTTAAATACTATAAGATTTAACGCTATTATTTCACTATAATCACTTTTAACACTATTATCTCACTGTTATTACTATTAACACTATTATCTCATTATTATCTCACTATTATAACTATTAATCTATTATCTCATTATTATCATTATTAACACTATTATCTCACTATTATTACTATTAACACTATTATCTCACTATTATCTCATTATTTGCACTATTATCTCACTATTAACACTATTATCTCACTATTATCACTATTAACATTATTATCTCACTGTTAACAATATCATTTCACTATAATCACTATTAAAACTATAATCTCACTCTTATCACTATTAACACACTATTATTACTATTAACACTATTATCTCACTATTATCTCACTATTAACCAATTATCTTACTATTATTACTATTAACACTATTATCTCACTATTAACACTATTATCTCACTCTTATCACTATTAACACTATCATCTAACTGCAGTTATGTCAACTAAATGCAAAATGCAATTGGCCTTATAATACTGGCTACTTGAGAAATTATATTTTCTCGAAAGTATAAATTCTTTTTTAAGTTTATTGAAAGTTGTTAAAGAGTGACTAAGTCCATGTTTTTTTATTTAAGTTGTCAGTCTAAAGTTTTAATAATTTTTTAGATTTATTTAAAGATTAAATAAATTTATAGATTTTTTTCAATTATACCTTTGACTGGCTTTTTAATGTAATCTTTATAACTTGTTTCCACTTCTTGAGCTGGAGTGTATCTTGCAACAATCCATACATTGCCATTCGCTGTTACAATTCCAACACCAACATTTTTTGCAGTCTTCCACAACAGTTGAAGCATATGACCAGCTTTTGGGTCAAACTTAACATCATCAAAATCGTAAAGTGAACTTAGTCTTTCTCTAATCAAATAATAATAATAAAAAAAAAGTAATTAATTAGTTAAGTCTAGATCTAATAAGTAAATTAATATTTAAGTTACCAAGCAACCCCTTCTTAAGTTGAGAGTTAACAGAAAATAAAGAAAGCATTTAAAGAGCAAGAAAGCAATTGACTCATATAAATGTAATACTTATTGTCAGGAAAACATGAAGATAGAAGAAAGTTCTAATGCACTGATATTCCAAGTAAAATTTAGAAAAATAAAGGTTTTTTGAGCATGAAGTTACAGATAAAATAAAAAGATGCAAGTTAAATAAATGAGTTTTTTTTGAACATCATCGTCATCACTTGCTTAAGCAGTGACTATGGTCGTATACTACCCTTAAAATACTACCCTTCAAGAGAAGGTGCAATTGTTCTCATGGTTTATTGAAACACAATCGGATAGGCAGACTCAGCGAAACTACAAAACTAAATATGGAAGAGATTTACCATCACGTCTATCAATTCGTGCATCGTACAAGAGACTGGGACAAACAAATCGCAAAACATCTCTTGCTTAAGCAATGACCATGGTCGTATAAAAAAGTGATCATGGTTGTATTTTTATAACCAACAATAACTATCATAATTACGATAGGACAAAAAACTCAAGTTTAGCTAGTCCTACAAAATTTAAAGTTTGCAAAACAATTTTTTACAAGAAAGAAGGTGTCATTATAAGAAACATCCCGAACGTAATAGAGAATGGAATCAACAGTACAAAAATGACAAGCAAAAATGAGGCTTAAGAGAGGGAAACTAAGCTGTTGCAAACTTTACAATTGATTGTAAATATGGTTTTCATTTTCATTTGGATTTAAGACTGATTTTGTTTATTTTGTCAATAATAAAGAAGCCGTGAATAAATAAATTTGCATGACCGGGATAAAAGAAGGAAAAAAAAATTTTGACAGTGACGGTGAATAAGTAAGACAGTGACGGTGAGTAAGTAAGACGGTGACAGTGAGTAAGTAAGACGGTGACAGGAATGTTATTAAGACAACATGCTGTTAAGAACTTTTGGCAAGAAATAACTTTAGCAACAGAAAAGGGAGTAATTTTTGTGTTTAAACAATTTTATTTTTTAAATATTTTTTTATATTTTTTATTTATTTAGGCAGGGCCGCCGAGAGCTGTCACGACGCCTGGGACAGCAATCCTGATTGGCGCCTTTATTTATTAAATTTTCCCTATATTATATATGATAGACCTTTTTTTTTTAATAGGTACCTACATTTCATTTGGCGTCCCTTGGATATCTGCCGCCCGGGACAAGCTGACCCTCGCTACCCCCCTCTCTTCTCGCCTCTCGGCGGCACTGTATTTAGGTGTCCCAAGAAGTCCTTAAGGTCTTATCACAGAAAACCGCGGATAAGCATTTTTATAAGAAATTCACGCCTCCTTCCTAACCGATGTCGCAAAACATGCCGAGAGGTGGGGTTTAAAGGAGGGCTCCTTTGTTTCTGAGGCAAGTGCGCTAGCACTGCAACACGGCTGCACATAAAAAAACAATATAAAACATACTTGTACCATTCATGAACTGCATCAATGCACCGTAAAGAAGGGTCACCACTCATACGAAAGATGTTTTCGCCGTAATTATTCATTTCTGAGTGACGCAAATCATTTTGTAATGCTAAATGAGTTGCCCACTTTGTAGCTCCATAAGCAAGTTCGTCATCCCATTTCAATTCGTTTGTATCGTGCCAAACTTTTCTAATATGATTGTGAGCAAAAAGGCATTTTTCTGGTTCCCGAATAGATTGAAAATTAATAAATTCTCCGTTTACAACCATTATTAAACATATAGTTATTGTGAATAAATAAACTTTTGTATTTCTATTCCACCAAACCATATTTATATTTCAACTAAAAGTTTTAACTTTTATATATGTTCTAAACAAGACAAATAGATCATCAAAGTTGGTGATAATACTTAATACATATATATATATATATATATATATATATATATATATATATATATATTATATATATATATAGTATATATATATATATATATATATATATATATATATAATAATATATATACATATATATATATATATATATATATATATATATAGTATATATATATATATATATATATATATATATATATACTTATATATATATATATATACATATATTATATAAATATATATATATATATATAATATACATATATATATATATATATATATATATATATATATATAAATATTATATATATAATATATTATAAATATATATATAATATATATATATATATAAATAAATATTTATATATATAAATATACATATATATATATATTATATATATATATATATATATATATATATATTATATATATATATATATATTATATATATATAGTATATATATATATATATATATATATATATATATATATATATATATATATATATATATATATATAGGTATATATATATGTATAAGTGTGTATGTATGTGTATATGTTTATATGTGTGTGTATGTATATATATGTGTATATGTATATGTGTATTTGTATATATGTATATATATATATATATATATATATATATATTATATATATATATATATATATATATATTATATATATATATTATATATATATATATACATAAATATTTTTATCTAAATATATACATATATATATATATATATATATATATATATATTATATATATATATATATATATATATAATATATATATGTATATATATATATATAGATATATATAGATATATATATATATATTTAAACATCATCGCTTCCAACAAGGCTGCAAGCAACCACTAATTAGTGTTGGAAGTTACTGGAAGAGAAAAGATGAAGATTGTAGAGCAAGATAACGATTGACAGACGGCTTAAAAAAGTGCAAATTATATGAATCAGGAAAGCAAGATGAAGGAAGTAAATTCCAAAGAACTGATGTTTGAGGAAAAAAAATAGACAAATAAGAGTTTTTGGAGCACTTAGGAACAGTAACAGAAAAAGGATGAGACTTAATTGAATGACAAGTAACACGAGAATGAATTTTAGTAGATGGCACAAGAGACGCTAGCTCTTTAGAGCAGTGCCCATTATAGTATTTGTAGAAAAGAGAAAGAGAAGCAACATTACCACGATGTGACAGAGGTTAGAAGTTGGCTGCAAGAGCAGGTCCAACTATGTTTACAATGCGTTTTTGCACCTTGTCTAAAAGAAAAAGGGCATTATTAGAAGATCCACCCCAGATATGGCAACAGTATTCCATACAAGGCCGAATTTGAGATTTATAGAGATAAATAATAGAATCCAGAATAAGAGAGTGGCAAGCACAATAAAGAGATGCAACCTTAGCATATCCTAATTTTGCAGCGGATTTGATATAAGGTTTTCCAGAAAGATCGGAAGTAAGAGGTAATCCTAGAAGATGAAGGGTAGATGACTAATCAAGTACATTACCGTTTATAAATATAAGAAGGTCTAAACTATTGCGTTAATGATTGGTTGAAAAAAGTTGAGTTTTATCTGAATTAAAGATCACCAGCCACTGTGAGCCCCATGCTGTAGCAGAAGTGAGATCCTTTTCAAGCTTAAATCCTCCTTCCAAACAATCAAAGAGAGTTAGCTTCTTATCATGACAAGAATAAATGGTAGTATCATCAGCAAACAATGCCACCTTAGATGTGAGAATATCTGGAATGTTAATGTAAATTAAAAAAAGAATATAGGGCCAAGGATTGAACCTTGAGGAACCCCAGAGGTTACAGAATAAGAAGAAGAGTGCTGTCCATCAAGGACAACTTTTATACTCTGATTGGAAAAGACTCAGTAATCTTAAAGATGTTTCCAGATACACCGTAAGAAGAAAACTTATGGAGAAGACCAGCATGCCAAACTTTATCAAACACTTTAGAAATGTCATGAGCGATGGCCTTAACCTCTCCATCTTTATTTAATGCTTGATAAAACCTATCGGGTATTACTGTTAGTAAATAAGCTGTAGAACGAGAAGATCGAAATCCATATTGATGATCAGAAAGTAAGTTATTAGATTCAAGATGAGAGATAAGTGTTTGTTAATTAAATATTTAAAAACCTTTTTTATGATAGGAAGAAGACTAATGGGACGGTAGCTAGACGAATCAGATCACTCTCCAGAATTTTTAAAAGTAGGGATAACAGATGCTGCTTTCCAGCAGGCTGGAAAGTAAGATTCTGATAAGACTATAACAGGTATGTTGTCCGGGCCGCAAGCTGTAGAAGAGTCTAAGCAGAAAATCAATTTAGATACAGAAGCTGGAGT